TGTTTTTTCTAATAGATTTTTTTGAAATTTTCATAGTTATTTCATATTATATTTAAAATTATTCCTTTTTTTGTCAATTTTTTTCTTTCTTTTTTTCATTTGTACAGTGTTTTTTTCTCCCTTAAACCATTGCTTTAATTGTACTACTGCTTATATTGTGGCATCCATAACATCCGAGGCATGTCATTTATCAATTAAAACGTGATCGATTTGATTTTTAGTTTCCCCGTCCGGGAAGTCCATGTTTCCTTATGAATCCTCTTATGATCAAAACATGTACCTCTAATAATCACATTGTTGCTAGTTGCAAAATCTACCGTTCTTACTCCATTTTCGTTTCTGGTTTCATGCAGGCTAAACCAGCCTGTAGTTGGTCTAAACCAGGGATCTCTTCATATTTTAGCATTTAAGTCTCTTAACAATATCTTTACATCATGTCTTGGTACCTTTGAAATTTCTTTATTGAGTTCTTGATAGAACTCATTCTTTTGTTCTTCCTCAGCATCTTCGGTAGGAGCATGCACACTAAACAAGTTAATGTTGAAGAATTTAGCTCTCAACCTTAATATACACATTCTTTCATTAACTGCTCTAAAATCAATTACTTCACTCTTTACTTCTTTTCTCACAATGAATCCTGTGCCGTGAGAGTTCCTAGAAGAGCTGGAACTGTTGAAAATAGTATGATTTCTAAGATCAGTTATATTGCTCTCTTTCCATCTGACCTCTTGAATTGCTAAAACGTCAAATCTATATTTATCACAATGCCTCTGCAGTTGTTTCACTGCACCCGTTCGAAATACATATTCCAAGTTCCAAATCTCTGTCTGTTTCTGTTATCCTTCATAGCAGTCCGGCTTTTTCGCATTGTTAGTGCTTTCAGAACAATGGATTTTTTACAGGCTTTATTTTTAATTGTAATTTTAGCTTTATTTCTAATGCTAAAAATTAAAACTAATACAGTTCGATTACTCGTAAACCACAATGCATGTATTAAGCTTTCAAAATATGTACTTGTTGTCAATGCTCAGTTATTACAGAATTTCATATAGGTACAGCAAAAAAATATATGTATGAAAAGTTAAAAGATATTTATGCATTCATTCATTTGTTTATTTGTATCACCTTTAGTATATACATTGTAATGTAAAAAATTGATAAATATTAATTACACATTACTAGTAACTTGTATTTAAATTTAAGAAATCTATTTCTTGTTTATTGAATTTCTCTGAATCTGGGAAATAATTTCATCTTTTAAAAATAATGGCAATTTTCAACCTTTATGATTCATCATTAATAGAATTATTATTTGTATAAAAATCATTTCATCGGTAATTTGTGGAGTTATTGTTTTGTTATATGCTTTATTTTGTACTTCAATTTATTAAATTTATGTTCTTTATTTAACTTCTGTTTTTTATTTTGCATTTTCTGTAAACACAAAACTAATGTGTAGTGTTCAGAAAAATAACACCCCAAATAACTTTTAATCTAACAATTGGATTTTAACTTACAAGGTCTCAATCTTAACGGTTCAAGAGAGTTATCTCATCTATATTAAATAATTAGTGCAGTCGATATTTTAGGTTACAAAATCTGACACAAAAACGTACTTCATCTGAGTAAACATACCTTTTTTTGGCAAATGATTCCTCACCCCAAAAATGTATGGGGAAGCCGCAATCTAGGAAATATGTTACTTATGGTTTGGTGAGGAAAGCTGCTTAAAGATTGAACCCCTTATTTTAAGTATTTGACTTTGTAAAAATGCTGTTACTCATTAACTATTTGTTCGATTTTGTTTAAATTTTGTATTTTGAAGTATAAAATTACATTCTTTAAAATTATGCAAAAATTTGTATACTTTGTAATTCATAAATTTTTCAACATAAAATAATAATAAAAAGTTATTAAAGTTTACTTTTTGTGTGGAAATATCTTTGGAAAAATGATTTTTATAATTGTGAGCAGAAATTTTTTAGTTTGCTTAAAAAGTTCTCGAGATATAGCAAAATGCAACAAGAGTAAAATTAACATTAAAGGGTCCAAACTAGAGACTGCTCACCTGAACAAACTATTAGGACTATATTTCCAAGATTGTAATTATTCCCTATACTTTGTGGTTAAAAATCGTTATCCTTCGAAAAAATGCATGTTTATGAATTATGATGTTATGAGAAAATATGATTTTGTAACTTAAAATATTGTCTGCACTAATTAACATATTTGAGATTACCGGCTCGAACCATTGAGTCCTAATATGTGGTCATTGGATTAAAAGTTATTCAAAGTGTTTGTTTTATATTCTTCTCTTTTCACATGCTGTTTATTATTTTTGTTTCAATTAAAACATTATTTATGAAATTTCTATGTTGCTTCAGTGTTGCTTTGTTAGACTTAGTAAATTTTAAGTATTAATAAGCCTGGATTAAATTTTAGAATTTCGTTAGTGTTAATTGGTTAGTGATTTTTTTATAAATTGAAAATCTATTAAATAAATTTTAATTCTTGTTATTATCAATAAATTTTCAAAACTAAAAATTCTCAATTTAAATTATGTGTATTTTCAAACTTATTAAAATTTGCATTAGCATCTACACTTATGTATGATATTCTACATAATTCATTTACTATGCTTTTTGAATGTAAAATAAAATGTTCAATTGTTTCAATTTTTTTTATCATCTTGCATTTGGTGAATGGAGGAGACATTGGACACATGGTAGAATTCTCTTATAGTTGAATAGAGTTTAGCGTTTGAATGAACAATTCTTGCATGATGTATAGAGAAGTAACTAATATTCTGCATTTGTAAAGTTTTATTACCAAATTATCACAAATAGGCATGCACTAAACATAATACAAATGATGTTCCACTTTTTTAATGTTTGCAAATACATATTTTAGTTATAGTGCAAGCTATTGAGGAATTTTTTTACTAAAACTATTTATTTAATAGACCTCAAGTGCAGCTTTTATCTCATTTGGACCAGTACACATTCTAGTGTCCTTTGAAGTTGTAAATTAGTTCTTGCTAACCCTGTATTTTAAGGTATCCTTTCTTTTCTTTACTACTATTATGTCTTAAAAATTCTAGATATTTTTCAAAGACATTAGTCCAAAATCTCTTTCCAAATATCATTGTCTCATTCATAAGCTGTCAGCAATTTTGCTTATAGCTGTTATATCAGGTGCATTCTGCCGTGCAATTAAAAAAACAAACAATGTAAGTGCTTCATGACCGATTCCGAGAAAAATGGCTTGACAACTATATTTTAATGCTACAAATACTCAAATATAATTTGAAAAAACTGATAAAGCAAAATTTATGCTTGAAAATTTGTAGCTTATTATTCAAAAATAAATGCCAAATGTATAAAAATCTAAATTTTGAATTTTTTGTTAGTTACACATTGGTTTTTCTATTGAACAGCAGTATTACAGTAATATGTGGTAAGTTGTTCAGGTACACCAAGGAATTGAGAATGAAACATAGACTTTAAGGTACTATTTCTTAGAAAGATTTAAAATTGTAAAATAAATTACTTTTTGAATTACTAGTGAAGGGTATTTTAATTAATACTGGAGAATGAATTTTATTCCACAAGGAAGCAGGCTTTTAAAAGAATATTATAGTATGCAACAAAATTTAGGTTAGGTTTTTAGGGGTTTTTTTGTTGATAATATTCATCAAATATAAATTTTTAGCTACCGTTAGTGTTGACATTTAAAATATAGGCTAGTAAAACTTTTTTTCTTATGTAATTGGAAAAAGTCTATGATTAGGAGTCTATCTATGAATCTTGTTTGAAGGAAGCAAGATTTTTTTACCAAGGACAGGTGACACTGAAGAGAGATGCTTGAGGCCTTCAATGCCCCCTAAAGAAGATAAGTAAGTAAAAAAGTATACTTACAATTTTAAATAAAGTGTGTGCTTGGTTACCTATTTTTAAAAAAATTTATAAAATAATGTTGAAAGTTCATTTCTTAAAACTTTTCTTGCAGTATTTTTATGTCAAAATTCCTGGTATTTGTAAGTGGCAAAAATGATTGTCAATGTGTTTTGTAGATTCGCTCTCTTTAAAGTTTTCAAACTTTTATTCACAGCCATAACTTTTTTAAATACATGGCAAGCAAAATTCATAATCCTTAATATTTGATTGAACATGTGTTTGTTCTATGTTTTTTTTTTCATAATTTATTTTAAATTAATTTTTAAAAATAGTAAATTAGGCAAGTTTTGCTTAATACTAATTATATTTATTGGTTTCTCTGTAAAAGAAAGTTTACGAAAAAAGTTCCTTAATTATTTTGAATTAGAAAAGAATGAGTTTAAATAATTAAAAATAAATATAATTTCAATTTTTTCTACGTATTTTTAGTTATATCATGATTTTTTTTAAGTTTGATTTTATCATTCATCTATTTACTATGCTTTCTCCAATGCTTAGCTAAGTAACACTCTACTTTCATTTGTTTAGTGTTGTTTGTGATAAGCAGACATCATCAATATCATTGTATAAGCATGTAAATAGTATGTTTGATTGAGTTTTCCAATTAAACTTGTTAATGCTTATATCTTATATTATTCATATTATTCTTCATATAATTATTTTTATTCATATTATTTAATTTTTTCCAGTTGATTAATTTTCTACTATAAAATAGATATATATTATTACAATTAATCTATATATATTATTACAACTAATCTAAAATTTTATTGTTTCATAACCCCCCAACAGTTTAAAAGTACAAGTTTTCTTTCTGTGCATAATTTTCTTATCTTATCTAAAAATATTTTGGGAACCTATAGTAACTAATTGTGTCTGTTTTTAAAGAAGTATACATTATTATGTTTCTGCTTATTTTACATTATTTCTGCTCAAAAAAAAATGAAAAAACTAAATTAAATTTAGTGTAAAAGCATTCTTCCATTGTTTAAATTATTATTTTTATACTTTTTTTGTATTATATGATTTTCTTTATCTTATTTTACTTATACTTCTTAAAATAAATTATTATTTAAGAATTATTAATAATTTGAAAATAGTTATTATGTAGTAATATAGTATGTACATTATGTTAACGAGCAATAGTATCAATTAAGCATAGTAATTACCATGGGATTAAATTCTAAAGTCTATGTAATTTAAGTTAATAAAAAGGGAAAAAAAGGCATTTAACATTAGAAGGACGGAATGTGAAAAAAACAGCCCTTTTAAAAGTTCTAAAAAATACTCAATTCTTAATACTTATCATTGATACTTATCATTAGAGTGATTTACATTCATCTTACAATGCATACTAAAATTATTAATGAGAAAATTATTTATCGTTAATTTTTTAAAAGTTTGAGCTTTTAAAGGGAACAATTTGGTCTTCTCTGTCTTTCTTGTGTTAAATAATACCTTGACATATTTTATTTAAATAATCCCGAGAAACTGAAGTGGTAAGCTGATACTTAATTAAAAACTTCACGTGCTCCTAAAATATGCAAGTTAGAAATAACAGTCGACACGTTTCAAGCGCTCAAAAATAGTCGCCCATTTTCAAGACTAGATGTGAATATTCACGTCTGGCAATTCTTGAAAATGAGTGCCTGTTTTTAGAGCTCATGAAACATGTTATTTCCAATTTGGATATTTGTGAATCGAATGAATTTTTTTTTATCAAGTAACTCTATAGATTTTTTCTTGTAAATTAAATTGATGAATGTATTATGATAAATGATTTTATTTAATTCACTTCAAATTAATGACAAATATTTTTGCATTATGTTTATCTAGGTATTTGCGATCCATATATCAAGAGACTAGTACCCAAAACATTCTATATGTGCTCATATTGTGACTTTTCATCACCTAAAAAGTCTAATCTTCAGAGACATGAATTGATTCACTCTGGTTTACGTCCATATGTTTGTAAGGTTTGTGGTATGGCTTTTAACAGGCAAGATAGATTGAGACATCATCAAATTTTGTCTCATTCAAGAAACGTGTTTAATCTCATGTAGTTCTATAGGATAAAGAAAAATGTAAAAATCGCAGCATATTTATTCAAAATTTGTGATTGATTGTTAACTAACATTGAAGAAAGCAATATTTTCAGGAAAAAAAAGTTTATACATTTTGGAAATGTTGATTATTTTATGGATGTATTTCTATTATTTCTATGTTTATTTTGTTTTATGCTGTTTAGTTTCATGAACTAATATCAGTACTCTATCAAAAGAAATTTTAAACTTGTTTTTTTTTTATGATTTAGGTTTTGTTTTTTCCTTAATCTTTTGTTTCTTCATATTATATAAGAAAATATCAGAGGGATAAAAAAGATCTTTTAAGAGTTTTTAAAATTTATTCATAAAATTATTTTTAAATTTTTTTTAGTACAAATTGCAGCTTCTTCAGGTTGCATAAAAAATAGATATTTTGTTGTTTTAATGTTATAAAGAAATTGACATAAATTTGTCTTTTTTCTCCATAATATCAACATAATGTTTTTTTAATCATTATTAATATTTTAGTTAAGGATACTAGGTTTTTTAAAAAATAAATTGTTATTAAAATGTATTTTTTTTTTTTGAAATAGTATTAAAAAGTGCAAAATTTGATGAATGATACTCTATCTAAAATTTTAATAAATCTTAGCAAATTTTCCATTGTATAACAAAGTAAACTTTACACCTGTAAAGAATTGATAGAAAAAACTTTGAAAATTTGAATATATATATGTCTTTATAAAGGTGGTTTTTTGTTTTAATTTGTTTTTAGATTCATGTGTAGTATTTGTCATTTTCATGAACTTGTTTATTGTTTTAGATTTTTTTTTTGAGTGTACACACTTATTAATGTCAAAAAAACTTTTTTTTCTCATTCAAAAACTAGATTCTCTTCATCCTGATTAATAATTACTTGATAAACTGGTTTATCAAGCCTACTTTTCTTAATAATTATGATCAATAATTTATGTGTGTTCATTTTGTTAATTGCTTAAAAAGTACCACATGATCAAAGTTTTACATACTGAGACAAAATCTTAAAATTTCATGAGACAAATTCAGTTTTAATTATTAAAAAAAGATTTAACGTGCAGATTTAATTATTATTATCATAATTATAAAAATTTAATTGATTATTAAATCAGACACAAAAGATATTTTAAATTTATAGATATTTTTATGACATCAGACGCAAAAATGTCTTTAAATAAGCAAAACATTTTTGCTACACATTGTGTTTTCTAAGTCTAAAAATATGGCTCTAAAATAGAGTAATTACCGGTTAGTGGAATGGTCGAACGTTTGAATGATATTAATGTTATTTTCAGTTTTTCTGTATTTATTCTTATATAATTGCACAAATCAATAAATTTTAATCGAAAAATTTAAATGTCGCACAGCTTAATGCAAAAGATAAGTTTTAAAATTACGTATGTTTTTTTTATCATTTAATCTAATAATGTTTGTATTATTTTGAATATTGGCAATTAAAATGATGTGACTTCTGTATTTAAACAGAAAATTAGTTGAAATGATTATTTTAATAATGTTTTATTGTCTTTTTAACTTGTAAATATAAGTTTGAGTTGCTTTTTGTTGGTAAAATGTTTTGTGTTTAAAAAATTTTATGCTTGGAACTGAACAAATTTTATGCTCAGTAATGGTTATATTATTAATATATATTTGTAAACCACTTTGTTATTCCTAAGGCAATTGTGTTATTTAATAAAAAAATTATTTATGAAAGACTGTTACTAATGTGTTTTTCTTTTTTATTTTCTTTTTCTTTTTTTTTCAAAAATGTAATGTAAAACAATTATAATGATTTGAAACATTTTCCTAATGATGTTAAACTGATTCCAAATTAATGTTAAACCAATTATAAATTAATATTAAATTTTTTAAACCATTTTATATCAGCATTTGATTTTAATTTCTCTATTAATAGCTAACACATTGACTTTTTAGTTTACTTTCATTGTTAATTAAATTATTAGAATTAATATAATTTTTTTATTTGCTAAATTTTGAATTCAAGTTTTGCTTTGAAAAAAATAAGTAAATATTAAAATAAAATGAGTTTTAATGTATTCATCAATCAACAATGACTGTTTTGTCTACCCAAGTTTTCTTTTATGAAATAATGTCTCTTTGAAATATTTCTTTAACCTTTGTGCAATGAAGTCAGACATGATAATTTTTTTTCCAAGTTCAAATTTGACAAAGATAAATAATTCGCTAGAAAAAAAGGAAATTATTATTTGACTTAATGACTCTTGTTTTCAAGAGAATTTATATATATATGTTGAAAAAAAAACTTTTAAAGGTGTTTGCCCATGAAATTACGAAGATATTTTTTTATTTTTTTTAGTTTGGGAAAAAGAAATTAATTTTGAAAAAATATTTTTCTTTTTTGTTCAAATATTTATTTTGATTACATATATAACTATGATAATAAATCTATAATTGTATGTATTGAGTATGTTTCAGTGTGTACATAACTGCTAATTTATACCCTATTTGTCAAAATTTTTCCACAGTGCTAATGAAATAATAAAGTAGGTAGGATGCCAGCACTTCAAGAAACTTATTTAAAAAAAATGTTGTGTATGTGAGTTATTAGTTTATTGTGGTGTTCAATATAACTTAAAACAAATAGATTAAAATAAATATAAAATTTATATAATATATTAAAATAAATGTTGCTTGCTACTATTAAGAACACTCTTTTCATAAAGCATAGAAGCTGGCAACTACATGGTGCGAGTATATATATNTATTATATATATATATATATATATTTAATATTTTACAAATACTACAGAATACTTAAGGAATATGCGCTAAGTAAGAAAGCATAGCAAAGCAATTTCCATCCCCACTAGTAGGTACACATGAAAAGTTTTTAGCAATATTACAATAAACTACACTTTTAGTAAATTGTGACATTTTAATGTAAAACTGTTTTTTAGTATTGTTTCCATATAGGTATTTTCAAAGTTTTATAATACTATATGGCAATAATGCTACATCGCAATATTTTATGACTATAATACTTTATGGCAATATACTGTATGGAGCAACATACTATACTATATGGCAATGCAATGCACAGAAACACGTTATTACACGTATACAAATGTTGATGTTTTCATCAAAAATGCTCTCCTTAATAATTTGGAAATATGGCTTATCATTGTAGTTTCATTTTAAAGGCATTTAGCCTTTCAATTTCAAGAGCTTCAATTCTTTCATTTAAAGGGCTTCAAATGAATCTCCCTTTATTTGAAAGACTCTTGCCCTTTAAATGAAAAGAGATTTTTTGTAGCATAAGTGCAAGTCATTTAGAGTAATGATGCAGCTAGCAGGAGGTTCTCCAATTTTGTAGTTTTATTAGAAAAGTTGGAATACAATGTGAAAAGCTTATTACTACAGAGCCATGTAAAGTCATAAATTTTAGTGTTGCTTTATAAAAATTATTTTCGAAGATTTCAATATTTTCCATTAAAAATACCCTTTAAAGAATTAAAAAAAAACACTAATTATTTATTTGAGTTTTTATGTATTTTCTTTTTAAATCTTTCGTTAAGTTTCCCAACTTTTCTTTTTTTATTATTATTGATAGTTATTATTTTTTGCAATAATCTCTTCATATAATATTAATAAATATTTCGTTATAATAATATGATATGTCAAATAATCCAAATTGTTAAGTAAATTTTTATTTCTTAACATTTATGTGTGTAACATAATTTTTCTCTCTTCCTAGATTCTGTTTCACCAGGCAAGAGAAGCTCTCCTAAATCAACTAAAATTTTCTCCTGTGAATGGTGCGATTATTCTACAATTATAAGATCTCATTTAAAAAGGCACATACTGATACACACGGGGGAAAAACCTTTTCAATGTTCAGTGTGTGGAAAGTGTTTTAATCAAAAATCCATTCTTCAACGACATTATGTTGTGCATATGAGAGAAGTTGAGGTAAATTGGTAAAAGGATTGTATTCAAAGAAAAAAAGTTTTTTTTAAAAGGTTTTAAACTAGTCACTTCAGAAGGGTAATGCTTACTTTCATGATTTTACCTAAAGATTTCTCAGGTATTTAAAAAATTATACTTTTGTTTTCTGCTTTGATTCTTTCAAATAAACTTTTGTGTTTAAATTAAATGTTAGTTAAGTTTTGTGTAAAAACAATACGACAGGGGGCGTTGCGTTTTTAAAAAGTGCTTATTTTCGTTTTTTATTTTTCATTGGGTATTTTAAAAAAAGTACTTAATTTTCCCTTTTTCAAAATGAGATTTTTCCTTTACTATGTTGATTTTCTCTTCGAATTCTGCAAAAAGACACGCATTTCACATTGTTCTATTCAACGTTTTCACAATTAATTCAACCCCAATCTATTTCGGTGTATTGTCAGTCCGCAGCGTATGAAAACTCCACTCGTTTTACATGATTCAAAATTTCATGATTTTTGACAATTGTCAAAAACAATGCCNTTTTTTTTTTTTTTTTGACCTGACGAAACAAGAGAAAACCGTCAATTGTTAAAAACTTTCCAACCCTGCCTAATTGTGATATTTTTTTTAAAGTCAAATATTTTTTGTTAATAAGTTTTTATATAAAGTTAAATATTTTTTGAGTGCTTAAAAGGTGCTTATTTTTTGTTAAATAATTTGCCTACGCACCCCGATAAAAGAATATATTTTTTTCAGTTCTACCTAAACTTGCAAATATAATTCAGACATGAATTTGTAATAATATATATGGTGGCACAACTCAGTGGTACAAAATAAAGTGTAAAAATGTCTTCAAAATTTATCTCAAGCATTTTATTTTACAACTGCCGTTGAAAAGTCGACCCGATTCTGAGTTTGCAGCTATCAATGTTCAACTCTGTAGCCATGTTTTTTAAAACCAACCCAGAAGACAAAGGAACTCCTGGATTAAGCATTGGGGGAAACTAGTAAAATGAATTTACCTAATTTTGAGAATTAGCAGTACCCGCAAAAATAATTTTGTGTCCAAAAGTGTTTCAACAATATTTATGTGTTGAAATCTGATAAACTTTGAAAAGGAATAATGCCAAAAGGAAATAAATAAACTGCACATATGTGTCACAGCCACATGGTGTTTTATGAAAATACAGTTCCTTTTGTATTGTCTCATAAATTTTATGTATTCATTCATGCAATTTTAAATTTGTTTTGTGATTTTATTTACTATGTTTCCTGCTAATTTATTTATGTGTCATTATTCTTTTAAACAAACTAATGATGTAGTATTCTTGAAGAAATATTATTTATATGGATGTTTTTAAAATAGTACTGAAATTTAAAAACTATTAAAACAGAGAGGATTGCTTGATAATTACGTCAGTTGAATTAAATGTAAAACAATTAAACAACATTTATTAAAGGCCATGTTGTGAAACTATGAATTTAGAAAATGCTTGTGAACCTTTTATGTTTGAAAATTAGTCCTGTTAAACTGTTTAAGACTACTGTTTAGGAATAAAAATAAAAATTATAATTGTCAACAATCTAAGTCTCTTTATTGCTTTACTAACTAACCTAATAAATATTGCTTTTTATATAAATAAACGTGTGTGAAGGTTTATGAGGAAAATGAGTATTTCTTTATGAAAGGTTTTATAAAGGGGTATCAGGAAAAAAAAGCATACTGATTTAAAAGTCGAAGAATCTGTCATAGTAAATTATTCCTTCCTCTTACATGTGCTTTCATTTGTCACAAAATTGTACTTGTAGCTCCATGACCTCCTGCCCACACAGGGCTGTTGCTTTGCTTTACTTACATATACTTATAATAGAATAATTCTTACAAATATTGATAACCTACTTATCAGCTGTGGCTTAATAGCTGAAAAATACTATTTAAGCAAAAAAAAACACATTTTTTCCTATGTTTGTATCAACATGCCATGATGTTATTAAAGTAAATAACTGTAGCTCTTCTGCTATAACCTTATTTGCGAAAAGATATTTTCAAGTTTTGGAATATAGGATAAAATTTCTTTATTATTTTTAATGTTTAAGTACATGACAATGTAAAATTTCTGAAACTTATCTGTTTATTTAAAATGGAAAACAAGAATATTTTGTAAAAAAAAAACATTCTCACTAAGTTTAATATTTCCTAAAGCTTATTTATTCAAAAATACAAACAATTTGTCTTTAAAAATTCAAATTTGTTATTAAAGTTCAAAGTACTGTACTGTCATGTTTTTTCTTTATAGCTATTATATTGTAACAGCAGTTAGTAATTATCCCTTAATAACCATTATGCTGCAGATAAAATGAGCTATTGTAAAATTTCATTAACCAATTGTCTTTTTTTTCTCATAAATTCTCCTTATTTATGCATAAGTATGCTTTCTGTTATATAATAAAAGTAAACTTTTTTTTGGTGACAGGTTTCCAAGGCCTACTGTGGGAAAATAATCAGAATTTTAAGAAAAATTGGAAGACTTACTCTTGTGAATATTGTGACTATACCACCTCAAGAATTGGGAATTTCAAACGTCACAATTTGATTCACACTGGAGGAAAACCATTCTCTTGTCATACATGTGGAAAACGTTTTTCACAAAAGTCTAATCTTAAAGTCCACATGATTGTGCACTTGAAGAAAAAATTAACTGACTATTAAAAAAGAAGCTTTTGTAATTTATGCTACTGAGTTGAAAGCGTATGGAGTTCTTAATAAAACAACGTAACTTAACTTTAAAAAAATCTTTTCCTATGTTGTCTTTCCTTGGTAATTGTAATTGTATAATTTTTTATTTAAAGCAATAAATTTCATGTAATGTTCTGCCACAAGTTTTATATTATGACATCTTAATTATTTTGCTGTGTTATATTAAGTAATTGATGTATGATATATTAATGAGTATGTAAATTTGATACATGATTAAATGTTCCCTTTAGTTAAAAAGAAAAGGGAAAAAATGCAAGATAACTATATTGTGAGTGATTAAAAATAACACAAGCATTAATTTATAACTTGGGAAACGTGAAAAAATTTTAATTAATGTGTTCATATAATAATTTTTTTAAATACTTAAATTGGTAGTTTTGCTAACAGCATAATAAACAAATTGACCACAGGTTAATAAGTAGCATTGTTATACTTCATTTAAATGTACAGTGCTAAAAAAAAAAAACGCGGACCACCCTGAGTAACTTTTGATCTAATTATCGGATATTCACATTCTAGGACTCAATCTTAATGGATTGAGAGGGTGACTTTAAATATGTTAATTAATTAGTGCAGACAATATTTTAAGTTACGAAAATAGGCACATAAATGAACTTTCTCTGAATAAATGTACCATTTTTTCAAAAGACTCGGATTTTTTAGCTTCAAAATATAAGGGGTAGCCGCAATCTGGGAAATATGGTCCCAATAGTTTGGTGAGGAAAGCGCTCCTATGTTTGAACATCTTAATGTTGATTTTACTTTTTGCGTATTTCGCTATATCTCGAGAAATTTTTAAGCGAATTGAAACATTTTTGCTCTCAATTATAAAATTCGTTTATCCAAAGATAATTCCATGCAAAAAATAACTTTTAGTATATGATTATTATTTTATTTAGTTTCTAAAAAATTAGTAATAAAAATTGTAAGGTATACAATTTTTTGCCTAATTTAAAAGAATGTAATTTTATATGATAAAATACAAAATTTGAGCCAAATCAGTTAAGTAGTTCTTGAGAAATTAAATTTCAAAAACGTCAAATATTTAAAATTCGATTTCTCAGGAACTATTCAACCGATTTTGCACAAATTTTGTATTTTGCCATGTAAAATTACGTTCTTAAAAATGTTGCTAAACCTTACAATTCAAATTTTTTTTTGACTATTATTAAATGAAGTAATAAATATTTACTAAGTTATATTTTGCATGGAATTATCTTTCGATAAACGAAATTTAAAATTGCGTGCAAAAATTTTTCAATTCGCTTAAGTACTGAGATATAGAAAAGTACGCAAAAAATTAAAATTGGCATTAAGGGGTTCAAAACTTAGGAGCGCTCTTCTGACCAAACTATGGGGACCATATTTCCCAATTAGCGACTACATTTTGGGGGTTAGAAATCTGAATCCATCGAAAAAATTGCATGTTTTTTTTCAGAGAACGTACTTTAGATTTCGTAACTTAAAATATCGTTTGCATTAATTAATTAGCCTATTTGAGGTCATCCCCTCTCACCATTAAGACAGTCATAGAACGTGAAGTTCCAATCATTAGATCAAAAGTTATTCAGAGTGGTCCTTTTTTTTGTGTTTTTTTCACACTGTACAATAATTTGTGCCCATCTTATATTTAGCAGTACGATATTTCCGCTAAGATTACATAAAAATGTGTGCCAAAGAAAAACGCTATATTCATTTACTAAGCATTTGTAAGTATATTATTGTTATATCTTCTTACAATAATATTTAATGTGAATACTAAATAGCTTGTGTGTGACGAACATGATTAAAATTTTCTAAAAAATTCTTTTAAGATAGCATTCTTAATTACTCAATGTTTGTAAATTGATGGCTATTTTTTATTCTCTTTAAACATGCCTGTACTGAATAACAACTTCACTATTATTTTATGGCAGGTTTGCGAGGTATGAATCTGGAAAAAAGACCGGTTGTTGGAAAAGGTTGTAAGATTTACGTTTGTGAATATTGCAACTACAGCACTCTCAGAATCGGGCATTTCAAGCGCCACATTCTAATCCACACTGGAGAGCGACCGTTTTCCTGTGATCTGTGCGGTAAAACCTTCACCCAGAAGTGTAATCTCAAAGTTCATATGCTTGTGCATATAGCCAAAAAATGACTGAGAGTAGGCTGTTGTGTTATCATGTTCCAAGATATTTCTCTAACAAAGATTTTGTTATAATTGTGATTAATCAAATAAATTCTATTAATTTTTATTATTGTCTCAGTATGTATTTTTTTATAAACATGATTGCTTTTTTTCCATTTCTGGTTTATTTTAATAATAGCGTTGAACATACAACTCATTTTTGAGTTCACGGCTATCAATACTCAATTCCGTGGCCTTGTAATTTTGAATTTAACCCAGAAGACGAGAACTCCTACACTGTAAAAAAAAAAAAAAAAAAAAAAAAAATTTCGAGCTATGCTGCACCGTACATTGGTATTCATTTGCTGGCTACATAAAGTCGTGCTCAGTTTTACTAAATATTGGTGCTTTTACTAGCTCCAAACAACGAGAGAAGGTTGCACCAAAAATCGGAATTTTGAAAAAGCCTAAAAGCGGCAAAAAGTTGCAACAAAAATATGTGTTTCGAAGGGAACTAAAAATGGAGGTAGGTTGCACCATGATTCGGTATTTTTGAAGGGAACTGAAAGCGAGGAAGGTTGCACCATTATTAAATATTTTTAAAGCGCCAAAAAGCAGAAAAAGATAGCATTATTAAATATCTATTAGAAAAAGAGGAGATTATTTAAATCTATAAAAATTAATAAAACTATTTTTATTTTAGATATGTTATGTAATATATATTATGTAATATATATATTAAATAATACATCTAAAATAAGAATAGTTTTTTTAATTTTATATATTTAAATAATTAAATTATAATTTGATTTAAATTATCGTCTCTTTTTCTTATAAATATTTATTAATAATGCTAGCTTTATCTGCTTTTTGGCGCTTTAAAAATATTTTCGTTCATATAAAAACTTTCTTTCTTCAAATTGATATATGTAAAATTTGAATTATTTTTTACGTTTCATTTAAAGCACCAACAGATGCTCTAGAGTTAATACCGCTAATGTTTTAAAGAGAAAATAAAAAAGAATTTTAATTTTAGACTGAATCAAATTCTTATTACTATGTATTTTGAAATTATTTTATTATTTAAAAATGAAAATATTAATTTCACAAATAAAATTGTATATAAAAAAGTAGACAAATATTGTATTGGTCAACCCCCAATCTCTAATTCAGGAAACATTCTAATATTAATTACATTGGTGTATGGAAATATTAAATTTGAAGTAAATTAAGAAATGTAAAAATAATGAAATAACTTGGAAATATTAACAAAAAATATGCAGATCAATATTTAAACATAATTTATTCATTTACAATCACTTTGATATTTGTGTACATAGACAGAATGTAATAATTGCAAAATCTTAAAATTTAAATATACTTTTTATACATATCACAGCATTCATTAAAAAATACAAAATATTCACTCAAAAATATGATAGATAGTATGTTTTTGCTACTAAGAAAGGGCATTCAATTCAAACTTATTTTAAATTCACAGTAATTTAAATAAAAATTATCGTTATGCCGCAATGTTTAGAGGTTTGAAATTTGGGATCATCAATATTTAAACATAATTTATTCACTTACAATCACTTTGATATTTGTATACATAGACAGAATGTAATAATTTTTAAGCAAAATCTTAAAATTTAAATGTATTATACTTTTTATACATATCACAGCATTCATTGAAAAAAAAATATTCACTCAAAAATGTGATAGATAGTATGTTTTTATTACTCAGAGAGTGCATTCAATTCAAACATATTTTAAATTTACAGTAATTAGAAATAAAAATTATCGTTATGCCTCAATGTTTAGAGTTTTGACATTTGGGTTCATCTGAAAATAATTTTCTATATTTTAATAAGATACTAAATATCTTGATGCTTTCTGCCTCATCTGAATTTTAATCTACAATATAGCTAAATTGCTTTTTTACAAGCATAATTTACTGCTTGATAAAAAAAGTAAAATTTCACACAGTTTGGAAAAAAAATACTGTAATTTTTTTTTACAAATTAATAAATGATGGTGAGTATTTGAGAAAAACCAATATTTTTATTACATATTCATTATTATAGCATTTCTGGTGCTATTACTTTAACTATATCACATTTTTCAGTTGATTGTAAAAAACACAACAAGATTTAAAAAGATTACACACAAATCAAATTTTGGAGCTTATTGACAAAAGAATAATTGTTTTTTCAAACACAGGTTCTTCATTCTCAAAACTTGAAACTATACAAATTCCTTGTTTGTAAGCTGTTCTTGAAACTAGTACTTTTCAAGTGTGAAAAAGCTGTTTATAACCTTCTGGAATTCTGGTAATTTTGGCAGAATAAATATTGTTATCAATAGGTTCGGCACTGGGTATAACAATATTTTTTCCTGTGTCTCTTTCTCAATTAAAATCATTGAAGTTGTTGGTGCCTTTGTGCTAATGGAAGAAGATTAAAAATAATGTAATTTATGCAAATAAAACGTGCAGAAGAAACAAAATTTGAATCCTTACTATTTTAAAACATAAAAAGATCAATCAAAGCAAGTCATATTTTAATTACTGTTTTTAAAATGCAATATAAAAAAAATTGAGAAATTGTAGTTCTCATGTTAAAAAATGTTAACATTTCACTACCTAAAAAAAATTTAGAGACCAACTATTTATACAGGGGGGGGGGGATTTTATCTTAAGCCTCCTTTCACCCACAAAGATCCCGGAAAGGAAAGAAAGATATTGATATTTTAAAATATTATTAGGGTAAACTAACCAGTGAAGGAACACAAGCTTCGCTTGCCTTTTAAAAAATCATATTAATTTCAAAATTCGTAATTTCAGTTAAATGACAGTGTCAACATATTTGTTACTAATTGCAAACTATGCAAAAAAATTGTAGAGAACTTACATAATATTGTTTTAAAGTTTTGGAGGTTCAAATAACAAGTAGTGAGAAGATCTAAGTACACT